TATTATGTTTTAATGTTTCCTGAACAGGTCGGTTGTCGTGAAAATAAGAATTTGTTTTAAATCAAATTGCTTAAATAAAAGAAAGATGAGATTTCCACTTCTCAGTTCAGCCTACTTTGAGTTCCGTTTGGGTTGCTAGGTAACGGGGCTGACCTTGGCTGACGTTGCTAGGTAACGGGGCTGACCTTGGCTGAGGTTGCTAGGTAACGGGGCAGTGCCCACCAATTGTGACTAAATAACAAGGAGTTTTTCAAACGGCTCGTTTTCCAGACAACAAAAAACCTTTAGTTATTGATAGAAAACAGATGGATGATTTTTTTTAAGCGCTTGGTCTGTTTTCAGAGACCAAGTACAAAAATGTTTTCCCGTTAAAAGGTGCAGTTTGGCAGGGAAAAGGTTGGATTATTTGCACAGTGTGCAAATAAGCACAGTGTGCTTATTCACTGTGCTTATTTGCAGTGTGAATAAGCACACTGCAAAAACACAACATTTTTTAGCGCAAATATCATAGTACACTTGAAATATGGTAAAACTAACTTACAGGTAACTTTCCAGCAAGATAATTTAGCTTCCGTGAAGTAAATAATTTCTTAATATAGATGAAAAAGTACTAGTTCTATTGGCAGATTATTTCACTTTTATCTGTATTTTCCCATAAATGACGTAATCTGCCAGTGGAAGTACTTTTTCATTTTTAGTAATGAAACTCAAAATGATGAGTCAATCACAGTGACTACACTTTATAGCATATTTAGTCACTACAAACTCCACAGAAAACAAAGTACTAAACTTTAAGGGTTTTCTTGGATTTTTTAGGTGAGACCAAAAGAGAATAGATAAAGCTCCAGTCAGGATTATAGTTTCCATATATTTTTGATCACAGCACTTACACTCTAAAACTGTATTATAATCACTTCAAAATCAGAGGAAGCTTGCAACGTTCACAGATAGTTAATAAAAAGGCGTAAACCACCAACTAAAAGCAGCAACAACCCCTAAACAGTAAACAGACGTGGATTTAAAATCTTTGGAGGTTGACATTAACAGAAAGTCTGAGCTACAGCGGCTTATAATCTGATATAACTGAACTATATTTAGCTCAAAGCTAACTAAATATTTAGCTAGCTCAGAGCTAAATATTTAGTGTGGAGCTAATTATTTAGTTCGTAAGCTAAATATGTAAGATGCTAACTAAATATTTTACTTGCTAACTAAATATTTAGCTTCAACTGATTATTTAGCTCGTGGAGCCAAATATTTAATTGGTAAATAAAATATTTAGCTTGATAATTAAATATTTAGTTGATATTCAAATGAATAATATGGTTAAAGGGACTAAACCCCCATTTTTTCTCTTATGAAACAAAAACAAATTTTTACTGTTAATTTTGACTATAAGTTTAATAATAGCACCCCATATTCTCTAAGATTGAGTAAAGACTTGTGCTGCTCAATAAAAAGCCAACAGCACTCAGGCAGGAGTAAATTGATCCGCGCTCCATTTTCTCAGGATTTTCCACTGTCCGGCGGCCATTTTGGGCCCTCTGCCCTTTTAGTAAACAAATCAAAACAGCTGAAGCACTGAATGATGACGCACCAGGTAACCAAGAGCATCCAGGTAAATCCGAAGACAAAGGAGCTGCCATTCGGACGTAGGGATCGTCTTGATCCCCACTGGCTTTAATACGGACTCAGCATGGAGCATTATAGAGCTTACCTGGCAAGCTTTGAGGTCTAATCACTCAGTTTTATTATTTTTATTCCAGCATAACAAAAAACACCAACTGTTTACAATAATATGATTTTTATGCATAAAACAGTTCGGGGGTCTATGCTTTAAGGGATCTACAGAATAAGCAGTAAATGACCCTGAGGAGTAATAATTTACTAGCTTCCCCCCTTTATCTCTTTAGTTGAGCTGTTGATAGCCTCCGTAAGTACAGAAAAGCCACAATAGGATTAGAAGAGGACAAAGTCAAGGAAAATCAAGTGCAAGTAATGACTTCACGCGCCCTGCCGCGCACCCCATTCAGAGTAGATTCAACATCTCTGAAATGGCAGGTAGGCAGTGCTCTGACAGGCCTTAGGTTGAATGAAAATAAGAGATACGTGAACGGCCGGAAGAGGAGGGGAGGACAGGAATAGACGGAGAAAAGGTGGCCCCGCCTCCAGGAATCCGTCACACCACGGATCAGCGTGGCACCAGCCAACAGTCATGTGATCCTCTGGTTTTATGCGCTCTGAAGACCTTTTGTTCTTTACATTGTGTCTGCTGGCTCTTCCTGAGCCGACACTCGCAAGATGGCTGAAGGGTCACAAAGACAAACAAACAAACCTACAACTAAAATGGATGAAATCTCCATTTTAGTTCTTTCATATCAGTTTGATGAACTCTAAAGTCTAAACCTGCGGTGTACCTCAGGGGTCTGTACTTGGGCCTGTCTTTCTTGACTCAGAGAGAGTCTGTATACTGCTATAAATTTTTCAAAATGAAAGAAACAAGTAAAAAAAAAATTGATTTGAAGGTTAGAAAATGTTACTGACTGGAAAACTTAAAGTGCTTTTACACTGAAACATCTGAAACAGGGTTTTGGCCACAGAAACGTCAACTTTTAAAATACTGTCCTCACTTTCATTCAATATTTAATAATTATTACATTTATTGAATTATGCCTTCTGATTTTAGTCGGCCAGGAGCTATTTTATTTTTTCTTTTGTCAAAATCTTTTCCCGTTTGCTCCTGCTATGCTAGCTTAAGGATCAAAGTTCCACATACACATTTTTTCATTTGTAGCAAGACATTTATGCTATATGAGTGAAATAATCTGCAAGTAAAACTAGGACTTTTTTGTCAATATTAAGGAATTTTTGGCTAAACATCGTGTATCCTGCTGAAAAGTTACTTGTTAGTTTCGTCTTATTTCGACTACAAACTAGACCAAAAATACTTGGTAATATTTCACGTTTTCTTTGGCTCTCCACAGACTCTACCCAATTCCAAACATTAATATTACTCATCAGTAAAAGATTACTTTAAACCTAAATCTGCTGCGTGAATTAATGATTTGGCTCATATCTGTATTTCAAAGAGAAAACGACATTTGCTGAATTTCCACAGTTTAAATATTCATAACACCCACACAAAGTTTAAAAACGAACTACATCAGAGAGATCCCATGTTTTAAAATCTGGGAGCACTCTTCTCCGTTCGAGGGGTTTGGAGGATGATATTGGAAATGTGACATTTAGCCGTTTCTTATCTCGACACGTCTTTGACCTCTCTCCTTCGGTTTTTATCTGTTTACAGTCAGACGTGCCTCCCAACCCCGTCCTGTCATAAAAAACCCCCGATCCCTTCACTCGTTTGCCCCCCAGTTTTGTTCGCCGCCGTGCTTAAACCGTAGATCTACTTAAGCGGCCAGACGAGTGCGCCAGAGGAGGAGGAGGAGGCTGAAGACGGTCTGGCTTAACGGAGATAGCCGTGTTTACGACGCAACAGTCGAATCGGTCTGTGTGTGGGGAGGCGTGCGAGTCGGAGAGACAGGGAGAGCGAGACGGGTCAGTTCAGTGGGAGGTACAGGAACTAATCAATGCAATTATATATATAAAAGGCGGTCAGATTTTCCCAGAAGGAGGAAAGCAGCTTTAATCCTGGTGTGTTTTTACCATGAGGCATTTCAAATATTAAATTGAGAATAATTAGAAGGTTGTTCTGGTTTAAAATGAGAAATATTTGATGCACTGCAGTCTAGTGATGCAAGTCGGTGTAAGACAGAACTGATTTATTTCAAGTGCTGTGTTTCCAAGACGTGCACTGCAAAAACACCAAATCTTACCAAGTATTTTGGTCTATTCTAGTGCAAATATCTTAAGATGAAACCAACTTTTCGGGCAGATATAGGAGCTTTTTTACGTCAATAATTCCTTAGCAGTGAAGAAGAGGTACTACTTCCACTGCCAGATTATTTCACTTTTATAAGAGAAATAATCTGTCAATGGAACGACTACTTCTACTTCGATATTAAACGGGCAGTATTAGGTATTTTTCACCCACCTGGTGTCATCTTAAAGCAAAATCAAATAACTATGTTACGTTCAGTTAGTATAAATATTATACTTACAGCTCTGGAAAAAATTAAGACACCACTTGAAATGATCAATTTCTCAGATTTTACTCTTTATAGGTTTATGTTTGAGTAAAATGAACATTGTTCTTTTGTTCTATGAACTACTGACAACATGAAAGTCCAAGCAAAAATTTAGTATTTATTTGCAGAAAACGAGAAATGGTCAAAATAACAAAAGAGATGCAGCGCTTTCAGACCTCAAAGAAAGCAAAGAAAACAAGTTAATACTGATTTAGAAATAACAATATTAATGTTTAAATCAATATTTGGTGGAATAACCATCAGGTTTTCAATGGGGTTCAGTGCAGTGGGCTCTTCATTTTTTTTAGAGTTGTATATCAAATATAACTTAAAACAAAATTATTTTGTAATTTAACGCATTGAAATTGGTCCCTTTCTGAAACTCCGCCTTCAGGATGTCAATACAACATGGCTCCTCTATTGACCTTTTAACTACGTTTTTTCCAGTGTTTCAGTGACAAGTAGCTTGCATAATGAGCTCCGCTGATGTGCAGTTCAGCCAGGTGTTTGCTAATTGCTGCTAGCTAGTCTGAAGGAGTTGAGTAGAGGAGCCACAAGGCTGCTTGGAAACTGCAGAGGTGGAGCTGCGCCTCGAAGGCGGAGCTAAGTCCCACCCAGGTGTTAACACACCATGGTTGCCACGGAGATTAAAGGATTTCTCAAACATTCACGAAATAATCAAGGCAACACTCCAGGTATGTTTTGATGAGGGAGTAATATATGATATAGAGCTCAAAGAAGTCAATTTTACATGTTACTGCCTCTTAATTTGTGGAACTATTCATGTTATTTAGGGGAGATAGAAACTCTGGAAAAAAATGATTTAGATAAAAAATTAAAAGTTTGTGACATTGTGTGACCTGAAAGTCTGTATTTGATGTTTGACATATTTTTTTTCTTCACCAATAGAAACCCCATCGTGTCATGTTTTTCTCTGGGTAAAGATGATTTGCATCAATATCATAATGAAGAACAGACACTGGTTAGTAAATATAATCCAGGTTTCCTGCATAGCAGCCAGTTTCCAACTGGACTGAGATCTGAGTCCCTCCCCTGAACGTCCCACTTCTTCCAAATAACTGAGACTTTTTGTTCTGAATTTAATATTTTTGTTAGGAAACTGGGAACAACAGAGTCGAGGAGGGAAGGATTACGGATAAAGTAAGTGAACATTTAATGCAAATCACTTAATGCCTCTGAACTAAAAAAAATACCTGCGCTTCGTCCCTTCTGTTCGTTGTTGTTCACCCACTCTCCAGTTTTTATCATCCAGGTCACACCATGACCCGACCTTCCTGCTCATCTGTCGGACTCCTGCTTCTCCTGATTGGCTACGTAGCAGCAGGTAAGTGGTGTGGATGGTAGCAACATGCAGTGGGAAACACAGATTCTGCATACGTGAATACAGAGCCTGATCTGAATCCAGACAAATGAATCTGTGTTTTTCCAGCACATCTGCTTTTAATATATCCGCAGTTGTTGCTTCATTTCTTCAGAATCACTGGCAGCAAAGTTTCTAACAAACCAGACCCTTTGGTTTGTTGCTGGAATTTAATGAAAATTTACAAAAACAAAGACAAATTCTGAGGAGAAAAATGTAAGCGGCATTAATAAACTCAATCCAATAATGTTAACACAGAAACATCTTTTATCTCATTAAGTATATTTTTTAATACCAATACCTTTTCCAGCAGAAGTCACAGTGACCTGCACTGAATCCACAATGAAGGTTGAGGTTGAAAAAGCTTCCTTCTTTCGACTCAAGGAGGACGATCTTTGCCTTATTGACTCCAGCAACGCCGTCTGCCGTCTTGGCGAGCACTCCAACCGAACTCACATCGTCGCCATCATTCCTCTCAACGACTGCGGTACCGAGATCGAGGTGAGAACGGGTCATTTGATACGTCCCACTCATTATCTCCCAATGAGTTTTAACACTCATCATTTTCCCTCTGCAGGAAAACGATGATTACCTTATTTTCAAGAATGAGATCACCATTAAGGAAGACGACCCCAAACACCTCATCACCAGGAAGCACCTGGCGGAGGCCCGGTTCTACTGCCAGTACCCCAAACGGGGGAATGTGAACCAGATATACTTGGCACACAGAGAGAACGTCACGGTGTGGGATAAAGGTTTCGGGACGTTCACTTACCAGTTCGAGTTCTACAAGGACGACCAGTTCAATGCTGTATATGACTCAAACTCATATCCACTGCTGTTTACAATCGGAAACAGGATCTACATGCAGATCGACGCCAGCTCCTCTATCAAGAACACGCAGATCTTTGTGGAGTCCTGCAGAGCTGCACCGTATGACAACCCCAACTACCGTCCCACCTACACCATCATTGAGGACGGGTAATGCTGCGTTCACACCAATCGCGTTTTGAGCGCCAGCTGCGTCCGCTTTACATTCAAAGTCGTCGAGGCGCGTTTCGCGCATCTACCGCTGCGCAATTTGAGCATTTGATGCGGGTGAAGCGCATCTAATGCTTCCGTTGAAAAATCTGAACTTTCGCCGCTCAATGCAGAGCGTCAACCAATCAGAGAGACTCTTCTCTGTGTAGTGGTGAGTTTTCCGATCTCAGGAAAAAAAACAAAAAACTGTGGAGGATAAACAAAGGCTGCGTTCACAATGCACCTTTAAGTGACTCAATTTCGATTGTCAAATCATATTTTTTCCGTCGTGGTCGTTTACACTTCCAAATACATACGACTTGCATGTGTCGTTTGTGAAACAACACTTTCACGTCGTTTGTGAAAGGAAAACTACCTGAAAGTGTCCCGCCTGTGCAGTAGAGGGCGCAATAACGACACACATAGAGAAGTGCTCAGCAGTTGCGGAAGTAAACGTGGATGCTGGTGGAGCATAGCTGACACAGCTGAAGTTGTTGGCTGACCGGAGGCAGCACTTTAACAACCTCATCCTCATTAATGTCCGCCATGGTTGTTGTTTCTCTTCCCGCTTGCGCGTATCGGGACGCAGAACAGTGACATGGAAGAGGATCAAAGACGGTCAGGTTGGTTGGATGCGAGCTGGACGTTTAGATTCAGGTCACATTTGAAAAGATCGGATAAGTATCGGATATCCAAGCAGCCTGGGACGCATTCGAAAAAAAAAAAAAATCCTACCTGTGTTGTTGAAACTGTCATGAAAAGATCAGATACAGGTCGCACTAAATCAAAAATAATCGGATTTGTCACTTCGGGCTGCTGTTTTAATCTACGACCAACCAAGTTATGACTATAGAGACGGGAATAGAAAGGACCTTGCTTGGAAGAGGATCAGCGAGGTCGTGGGAATGTCAGGTAAATTATAACTTTTACTATTTGAAAATATTTTCCCGCATTTGAGCTGTCCAAATCTGACCAACAAAAACGTTACATAAACGTCCATCGAGAGCGATTTTGACGCATCTGACGCGCGTCTAGTGCAAAATGTGAAGCGCCTGACTTCTGAGTGCACACGCATCAAACTTGAAGCGTCGGACGCATTTTTGACGCGCGAAACGCGTTGGGTGTGAACGCAGCATAAGTTTTCAGCTGGTTTAAGAATGCATAATGTTAATGGTGCATCACCCTTAAGAACTTCTCAGTATAATTAGATATACAAGGCATTCAGATGAAATAAAAAATAAATAATTCAAAGTAAAATTTCAAGAAACTGCATGTTCATAAAACAAGCAGGTTAGTTAAAAGAAAATTTCATTTAAATTTAAATGAGGTTTTCGAAAGAACCATTTTATTTAACAAACTTCTCAAAATGTTTGCTGATGATGAGGTTGATGAGTCAGTGGTCCATCAAGGTGCTTTAAATCAAATTAAGCTTATGTGAGATTTGATTTCAATCAGATGCTTAAAGGACACGACTGTGCAGAAACACCCAACGGCCAACAATAAGCAGTTCAAGTTCAGCATGGAGGCCTTCAAGTTCATCGGATTGCATGATCAGGTGAGAAATAAACTTGCTGGCATTTATTTTTAACTGAATTGGAGTATTTCAATCTATAGAGACCCACACAGGGAACAGCAGCAAAGAAAAGCAAGGACAGCAAAAGAAAAACTACACTTTAAAGTGTTCCAGTTGATCTGGGTTGTTAAATAGAAAGTATAAAGCTAAATGTTGGTTCTCCATGTTTGATTCTTTTTCCTGGTTGCTAAGTCTTGCTCCAGTATTAAAAGTATAAAGCTAAATTAACAAATTATTAAAATATTCAGAGTGAAAACACAGCAGAATTAGTGGTTTCTGTTAATGGCTGTGCCGTTTGTTGAATTCAGGTGTACATCAGCTGCACAGTCATGATGTGTAAATCAGGAAACCGTAACTCCAGGTGCTCGAAGGGATGCGTCGAATCCCCAAAGCACAAAGCCCGCAGAAATAGAGAGGCTGTGATCGAGAGTGGAAAGCACTTTGTTTCCCAGGGTCCTTTGCGTCTAAAGCGTGAAGCAGACCCCGCTGGAGGCTCAGGTAAGGAAACCATGTGGAGAGGTTTATTTAAAATGTGAACAGGACTAACAGAAACGTGTTCCCCTCGTGTGCAGAGTTCGACATGAACCCGAGCCTGGTGTTTGTGGCTGGTTGTCTTCTTGTTGCTGTTGGGATGATCTGCGGCGTGATCATCTACAAAACCAAAACCTCCAGGGTCAAATATCAGCCTCTGCTTCCATATGAAAGCTAAACCTGCAGCATCGGCCAAACTGCTTGGATAATCTGAACATGGGATTCTGATGCTGCGTTCACACCAAACGCGTTGCGCGCGCCAAAAACGCATCTGATGTTTCAAGTTTGACACGTGTGCACTTTGAATGCAGATGCTTGACATTTAGCTCTAAACCTAGCATTTCGCACGTCAGGAGGATCTGGTTTACTTTCAGTCTATGGACAGTAAACCAGACTCTCCATAGACTGACGGTGTGTCAAAATCGCTCTAGCAGTTATTTTCCATTGCCGGCTTGATGCGTCAAACACGCCAAAAGCTTCGATTGCTCAGCGCTAGGCGCATGGAACGCGCCACAACGGGCCTTTGATGCGCGATACGCGTTTGGTGTGAATGCACCATGAGTGTTTATGAGCTAATTAATCTTTTATGATCCAAGAAGCTACTCAAAAAGTTTTGGTAATTTCTTTCATATTTTACATCATAACAAAGAAGTATCCTAAATCACATTTTCCTTCTCTTTAATTATAATCTCCAGATTTAAGAAAATGCACCTTAAGCTTTTATTTTATGATGGAAGTCTACAGATCTTTTTTGGAAAGGAATTATATTTTAGCATTTTTATTTTCTGTCAATTCCAAAGTGTATATAAGTGGACTTGTTATTTCTGAATGTGTCAATAAAAATACAAATTTTTGCTTTTTATTGGACAAATCACTGAAACTCCTCAGTGAGTGCTTCAACATACAGTTATCAATGAGGGATCTAATGAAAGGTAATGATCACAGGAATCCTCTGCTAGGCACAGAGTTACAGATAGTGTGAATTACTTGTAACTGCAGATGTATAAACACAGCTTGAAAGCTTGGAAACTGCAGCTGTGAGGAGGAGGAGGAGCTGTGGCTTAAAGGCGGAGCTAAGTCCCCTCCAGGCGTTTTGAATAGCTGAATGGTTGCCATGGAGATGAAAGGATTTTTTTCAAACATGCATGAAAGAATCAGGGAAACACTCCAGGTAAGTTTTGATGAGGAAACACATAACATTATAATGTTATATGTAAAAGAGTCGATTTTACATATAACTGTCTCTTTAACACTTTGTGGGGCTGTTATTGACATTATTCAAAGTATTTAGGGGGGGAGACAATCAAACTTCCTTAGACATTGCATGACCTGAAAGTTTTAAGTCTTAGTCTGATGTTTGACATATTTTTCAGTCTGGAAGCCACCAAGAGAAACCTCATCATGTCATGTTTTCCTTTGGGTAAAGATGATTTGCATGAATATCATAAGGAAAAACAGAAACAGGATAATAAATATAATCCAGATTTCCTGCAGCTGAACTAAGACTGAGTCCCTCCCCTGAACATCCCACCCCTTCCCACAAACTGAGACTTTTTGTTCTGCATTTAATGTTTTCATTAGCAAACTGGGAGCAACAGAGTCGAGCAGGAAAGGATTTGTGAGCGCTTACTGGAAATTACTTTGTGCTTCTGGAAATTCTGCTTCTGGATAAAAACAAAATCTCCACGCTTTGTTCCTTCTCTCTTTTTTTTTTTTGTTCACACACACTTCAGTTTTTATCACCAGCTGTACCCAGGTTTGCCTCCACACCATGACCCGTCCCTCCTGCTCATCTGCTGGACTCCTGCTTCTCCTGATTGGCTACGCAGCAGCAGGTAAGGGATGGGAGCAGCTTGCAGTGGGAAACACAGATTCTCCACAGATTTCTGTGGATTCAGATCCAGCCTGAATCTGAATCCAGACACAGGAACCTGAGTTTTGCCAGCACATCTGTTTCTGATTTAGCTGCAGTTGTTGCTTCACTTCTTCTGATTCACTGGCAGCAAGTTTCTAACAAATACTTCAACAAGCCCTTTTGTTTCTTACTGATATTTAATGGAAATTTACAGAAACAAAGACAAATCCTGAAGAGAATTACAACCAGGTTACCCTGCTGAAGTTAAACAACCAAATTATACTAACAGTAAAAATTTTTCTTTCATCTCTTTAACTATATATTTTTAACTTACTATTGATAAATCCTACTAAATCATGAGTCAAACTGGTGAAAACAACATAATTTCAAGCTGACATCATGTTGAAAACAGGGAAACCGTGAATGCTGACAGCAGCTGAACGGCTTCCAGCTGCTGGAGGTTTAGTTTCAGCCTGAAACAAAGTCCAACTGCTGCAGGATGTGCAGCTGCCTGCAGTAAACCTACAGTAGCGTTTATTACTTCTGATCATAAACTGTTGTTTTAACGCAGCAGATTATGTTGTCATATTTCTAAAATGCAAAAGCAAAATCTATCAAAATCACCTTTTACCACCATAAACATTTAAGGGTTTTTTATTGTGATTTTGTGAGAAAGGCCTATCATAAGTTATACAGATTTGTAATTTGTAAGAAAAAAGATTGATTTTCACATAAATATCTGAAAAGTGTGGAGTGTAATTTGCATTAAGCCCCGCTGAGTCCGTGCACATTTGACTTTAAATCCATCTCTTGGAGTTTGTCTCAGTTTTGACTGAAATATTTGCTTATAACTCACAAGTTCAGACAGATTGAATGGAAAGCATTTGTTTCCTCAGTTGGACTTTGACTGGGCCATTCTAATACATGAATACACTTCGATCTGAAGCTCTCTAGCTTTGGTTGTTTGTGGTCATTGTCCTGCTGCAGGGTGAGCCTTTTTCATCAATATGCAAGAATTATTGACTTAAAACAAGATTCTGTATCTTACAGAAAAGTTACTTCAAAGATAGTTTTGTGAAGTAACATATTTGCACTGGAAACTAGGCATAAAATACTTGGTAAAATTTTGTGTTCTTGCAGTGTAGGAAAATCTTGAAGTGTTTTGGTGTGATTTTTTCCAAATCTGCTGACGCTGTTTTTTGTGGAACAAAAAGGAAAAAATGCTTGCATGAGCTGGAAAAGGGGAAAACTCTTCCCAACTGAGCCACATGTAGCTTTCTTCTCGATGCACGACTTTCTCCCCACATGCAGTTTTATGGTACACACAGTCCTGGGATGAGGCATTCATCGTGAAGCTCTCGGCTGGAAACTCTGTGCGGCTCTGGCTCTCAGATGGGGGCACAGCTGTGGTTTGGATGGATTTAAGAACCTCTTCTCCATTTTATTTATCTCCTTCCTGATTGGAAAACCAGCATAGCGCTGTGGTTCTCGTGAGCTGCACAGGAAATAACGCAGAGATGCGTTTACATCCAGCTGCTTTTACCGTCTTTCATGATTAATCTGTCACCTTTGAAAGAAAGCAGGAAACATGGGATGCCAAGTTATCACACACCTGAGCGAGTTCAACAAAACCTCCCACTGTGGAGCACAGGTTAGAGCAGACAGCTGCTGTGTGTCCACGCTCACAGAGTCCATCCTGCTGTTTACACTGCAAAAACACTAAATCGCACCAAGTATTTTTAGTCTATACTCCAGCACTAATGTCTTTGTACACTTTAAGACAAAACTAGCTTCCAAGTAACTTTTCAGCAAGATATAGGAGTTTAGTTTGAAGGTGGTCTATTATGCTTCCTTGAACATGTTGGGATAGGTCAATACAAAACATGTTCATTACATTTTTTTTTGGGCAAAATCATTTTTAGATAAGATTTTTGTCTGATCCTTTAAGAATGAGCTGTTTTAGGGTCTTCTGACACTTTAAATCTAAATAAGCTGCTGCTGGCCACAACCTCCTAACTTAACGTTTACACTCACACATGAAAACGGCTGCAAACACATGCAGAATTATACAATTACATATCCTTGAAAAGCACCAGTAGTGGTTCCTGTACAACTAAAAATATTGCAGCAAGGGATTTCTGGATGGTAAGTCAACAACTAACGCTTTATTTTACAGCACATACAAGTGTAAAACCACCTGAACAAATGTGCTGGAACCCAGCTTTGGTTGCCAGGTAACGGGCGGAACTCTGCTGGGGTTGCTCAGCAACAGGGTAACCCAGGGGTTGCGATTTGGGAGGTTTTGGAAACAACTAATTTTCCAGACACTGGAAAACATGAACTTACTGCCAGAAAACATCTGTAGTAAACCTTACATCCCGCCAGCCAACATCATGGAGTCTGGAAAATGTTTTCAAAGGAAGCTATTGTGAAATAAAGGCAGTTCTCTCCTTTGGGAAGTGAGTTTTGATGGATTAGATCACTTCTGGTGATTCGTATAACTAAAATCAAGGCAGCTGCAAAGAATAACTGTGTATACTTTCTGGAGGTTTTCCAATACATGTCTCCAAAGAGCAACCAGGAGGTCTGAGATCATGGAACAAACGACATCACTGTAGTTTAAAACTGAAAATTTATCTGAATCTAAATGTCAAAAAAAGTAAAAAACAAAACAAAAGAAATCCAGCTGCAAGGAGTAAACAGAGGAAGCTTCATCTGACTGAATGAAAACAGTTTCAGTACAAACACTTTGGCTCAACAATGATGTAATTCCCAAATTACTTTGAGTCCACAGCGAAGCAGACTCGGTCAAAACGGTGTCTCTCAATGCTGAAACACTCAATCCAATCACAAACTAGACAGTGCTGTCCACTTTCATAGAATAGACATATTCCAGCTTAGATCAAACTTTCAGCAGCTCAACATACGACAGTTTTACTAAGAACAAATAAAAAAATAAAATATTACAAGATACAACAAAATCATGAGGAAAAACATTATGAGAATAAAGTCGAAATATTTAAACAATAAAGTCATAATAATAGTAAATAAATGGAACTGAATAGAGACAGTCCGGCTTATTCCGCTTTAATTTAACTCTATTTTGTTTGTAGAGAAAGTCTGATTTGTTTGGAGAAGTGTGAACGGTTAACTCTGGTCCGCCTACAAACCTCGGTCTCGGTTCAGTTGAAGTGAACTCTGCAGCGGTTCGAATACACATGTAAACGGCGAGCAGATCGGAGATCGCTCCAAAAGCAGGAAGTGGACTACAACACAGGGCCTTCTGGGTAAATACTATCAAAAACAAACACTTGAATCTGTTGCTTGCAGAGAGAAATCCACCAAAATCTGACACTACTCCATCTTTATTTACATTTCATGAAGAAGGAAGTTGCGCTCTGTGTCTTCAGAGGTTTTCATGTTGTTTCCATCAGTAGTTTTTGCTGCAGCGCCACCACAGGCGACGAGGGGAACAGAAGTTTCGAAGGTTTTGGTTACCTCACCAGCTGAAAATGTAACAAATGTTGCAATTTTATTCCCCAATCAAATCAAATCTACCAGACTATGAGGTGTGAAAACAGCCTTAGAAAGATGACTCTTTGTCCTTAGTCCTGCCAGGCTGTAGGATCTCCCCTATTACAAGTGTGAAACAGAATAATCTTACCACCAGTGCAGAGTGTTTTGTACTGTCGTTTTTTTCTTCTAGAACAGTTAAAGTAATAAAATACGACACTTCTGTTGCATTTTTCCCAAGGAGAAGAATCAGCCGACAGCTTTTTGTCCCTAAAAGAAGTTCGTTTGTATCCATGACAACCAGATCTCCCTGCTTTAACTGCTGTTGAATAATAAATTTAAAAAAAGAAAGAAGAGTCATTATTTGGATTTTCTTTTTCATTAAATTACGCATGAAAGCATTAAAGCAGCCAACCAGGAGAGAGTTGAACCTATTTTATGTTTAAGAAAGGTTGTAACAGATCTGGTTGCTGGAATCTGTGATGTAGCAAAAATAACATCCT